GGCGGCGGCGGCGGCCGTGGCGGCGACGGCGGCGGTGGCGGCGGCGGCTGCTGCTGCAGAAAATATGAAAATCTTACCATCACAGTCATCTGACACATAACAATGGGGAAGTGGTCGTAAGAGGTCTCTAGAATCTCATGCTCGTCTACTGTTACCAAATTTAAGGATCTAGCTATTTCCGGTCCAAATTTTGGCAGCGTGATGGTCTTGTTCTCCGTTGGTTGGATAGCGCCTCCACGAGCAGCCGCATGCCTGCTGTTTGCTGCGCCTCAAACAATGCGCGCCATCCGTCTTCTGCTGGTGTCCGTAGATCTTCATTTTGTGCCGTCACCGATCCCACTTCTGATGTCGGAGAAACACTTTTCTCAACGACATCTATAGTGGTTGAGGACTTGGTGATGATGACCCAACTCGATCTGTCTCCACTCCACGTCAAAACGCCTTATATACAGATGGTGCCTCGACCCCTCTCAAGCCCAACTGGCTCTGCTCTGATTGGTCGTTACTTAAATTACGATAATAATGTTATTTAGTCTAGGAAAAACGTAACTTATAAAGTAAGATCAAATTAAAAGTTATTAGAAGCTTTTACAATATCAATAAACATTAAACATTGCACACAATGCGTTAAACAGTAACTCAGTTGACAATGGCTACTTAATAACTTCCTACTTTAAATATATTGTTAGCTGAGGGTGGAACTTAAAAATAATGCTGGGGTGATGCCAATATAAGAGACCGCACCCTCATTTTCGGGACACACTCGCCACCGAACACTGAAGCCAGCGGAAGCTCTGCCCGTTTGACTAGCCAAAATAATTAAACATTTTAACTAATAGTTGATCAAGTTAAGGTTATATTTCGAAATCATTTAAGTGTTAATTTAATTCAATCAATTTTGTTAGTTTTGTTATTAAATCATAAAAGTACTGTTGTAGTGTATAAGAAAATTTTTTTTTTAAATTTTCCCTGCTTCTGATCCCTAAGATCAGAAGTGGAATAGTGAAACTCCCACGTCCTGGTTTGTACATCCTGATACGATGTGTTTCCATTGTTATTTCTTTAATTGGCTAGTCATACGATCAGAAACATATTTTTGGAAATTGTAACAACCCTTGTTTAAAAGGACAAATTAACCCTTTGTTTCCGGTGTTTCGTATAATATACGTAAGTAAGACGCGATGTGACGGTGTGATCAAGTTTTATAATGTCAACTTTGGTGAGTACGTTCCAATTGTTTTCTTTTCCGCTTTAAAATAACAAATAGAAGTTGTATTTGTTAGCCTTTTGTGTAAATTTTAGAATGGCTCAATTTTAATATTTTGTCGTGTCTATCCTATTGATCGATTATTTACCGTAACTTGAATGCCCTGCTTGGAATTACGCCTAATTTTAAATACTTGCTAAAAAAAAAGAAAACATGCTTAATAAGAGGCGGCAGAGTAGAAGTCGGTGGCAAAATCAGATAGATCTGATCGCATTCTAGCCAACATGATTCACGCTACTGACGACGTAGCCCTTCTAGCAATACTTTAACCGAAACAATGCAACAAATTTTGAATAGACTGGTGTCATTAGAGGAACAACAGGTAGTGTCTTCATCTCAACGAAAGGAGTCGAGTGGCCGCGCTGCAATGGAAGTAGCCAAGTCCGCGGTGCCCGTGGCAACCATCAGCGCCGAGCCCGTTCCTGCCGTGTCGATGCCGCCGCCGTCGCAGTTGGGCGAAGCTGTGACTGCGAGCTCGCTTCAAGGGCGCGCTTCAGGCTTCAACGACTCCGTCCTCACCGGAGCGTCCCGCGAGCGCTACGTCAGTCCAGGCCAGCGCCGCCGATCGCATCATCGATGCGATACGATCCATAAATATACCGGTGAGATCTAAAAATACAAAGAACAAATAGAAGATGTAAGTTTATCGGGTCACATCATGTTTTTTCTAATCACTTTTTACTGTTTCTCTCTATATGCATTTTTTTTTTCGTTCGTTGCCCTCCCTCCAATAAATCTACAGAGGCAAAAGAATCAGCAGTGAATTCAACGTGGTATTAATTGTGTAGCATCTTTAATTTATTAAAAACTTAGTTACTCCAAAAATCGAAATATTTATCAACAGGTAATAAAAAATAATGGTAGTAGTTTATAAAATTATAAAAACAAAGAATATCCATAATCCATAGAGATTCCTACTTGACGTACGTGCTTCGTTATCTGTGACACAAAAATCATGTGCGCCAATGGCGTTTTAAAATTTCAAGTCTCAACGGTTGTTTGTGTTCGCCAGTTGAACGTGTTCTTATGAATTTATTATTATAATTATTGTAAAATTATTTTACTGTTGTGTCTAACTGGTTAAATATATCTCAACTTATGAAATCATAGTTTAAAAATCTGTAATTTTTGAATTGTGTCGTAATTTATATCGAGGGATGGCCCAGTTCAACTATTTGAACGAAATAAATAGTTTAGCCACCATTGACGGGCCCATTACGAGAGGTCCTTTGCAAAGATGGATCAAGAAATCAAAGAACGAAAATATAAATCCCTCGTTGAGCTCATCATTGAAGAACATTTCTAATGCAAACATAAGTTCTTGCAATCAATCGCTCCAAAAACTGTCGATTACTGCAAATCAAAGCTGCAATAACAGTGCGTTATCTAATAGCAAGACACCCACAAGAAATGAAAATAAGAAAGGCAAGAAAACTCCGTGTAAAACGAAGTCCCCAGGTAAGTCCTTATTACCGAACAGAATAAGTTGTTTTGGTATTTTAGGATATTTGATTAAAATGATAAAATTTCTTAAAATAAAGCCGGTTGTAATGTAACTTCAGCAAACTACTTATACAGATTTTTTTATTATTTTAACACTCAATATGTTGCAGGTCGTTCAACAACACCAACTCCCAACAAAGCCTCTAAGACACCAAACAAAGCTGACAGATTTATACCTTCGAGAAGCAATTCTAACTATGACCTGTGCCATTATATGGTAAGGATTAGATTAAAATATTAACAAGAATTAACAATTAATAACAAATTAATAAAATTATAATATGTTTGGTTCAATTCATACATAATTAAATATTGTTTGCTAAACTCCTGAATTTTTTATTCTGAAATTTCAAAATGTATTTAATTCTTAGCATGTTTAAAAAACTACTTATAACAATTATTACACTGCTAATAATTTTTACATCCTCTTTTATCTTCCAACAAAACGTTAATTTGTTTTAGATGAGCCATGATGAAGAAAAAAGGGAAGAAGCAGTATCACAAATAGCAGCGACTGAGGCCATTGGAAGGGTGCTGACAGACACAGAGCCAGGCCGTCTACTGCAGTACACATGTAAAGCCCTTGCCGCACCTGAAGGATACCAGAATAGATTATGAGTTGTATACTCACAGGTATATTGATAATTGACTCCACTTCATTACATTCTGTTTATTTTCAATTTCTTCTTTGCAGATGTGGGTACTTTCATATTTTGACAAAAATTCATAAACAAGTAATTAAAGATATTGCACAAAATTGGGATAAATTACTATTGTTCGATATAAAATTGATTATTTGTATTATAATATTGTTAACAATGTTACCTAAACACAATAATTGCTATAACAAGATTGAAAATTTGCAATCATTTTAGGCCAAAGTTCCTTCAACGGTGAAAAACAACACAAGATACAGTCACAAGCTCCTGAAAGAATACTTGACGCTCCTGATATTTTTGATGACTATTGTAAGTTTAAATGATTCTTAATCTTACTAATATTATAAATGTGAATGTTGAGGTGCAAGTGGATGGATGGATGTTTGTTAGATGATATCTCTAGAATGGCTACATGGATCTCGTTGAAATTTGGCATAAGTATAGAACATACTTTGGAAGAACACATAAGCTACTTTTTATTAAATTACGCGTGGATGTAGTCTGGGGCGACCGCTATATATTCATCATCATCATCATCATCAGCTCACTGTACGTCCCCACCGAGGGGCTCGGAGCCTACCCTAAGTTAAGGGTGATTAGGCCATAGTCAACCACGCTGGCCAAGTGCGGGTTGGTTGACTTCACACATATCTTTGAATTTCTTCTCAGATATGTGCAGGTTGCATCACGATGTTTTCCTTCACCGTAAGAACGTCTGATAAATGTACATATGTATATCGGAAATCGAAAAACACATTGGTACATGGCGGGATTCGAACCCAGGACCTGCAGATTGCAAGTCAAGTGCTTCACCCCTGAGCCACCGACGCTCTTTGACGCTGTATATTATTGTTTTATTACTTTTTAATTCTTAACAACTCACATACAAACAGCACAAAGATTAAATCATTGTTAAACCTTGAATATAAAATTAATATAATATCCAATTATTATTTATTACAATTAAATTATCATCTATCTGGAACTTTATGACTACCCTTAGTAAACTTAATTCTATGGTATCCACATTAAATAATTAATTTGGCATGTCAGACACATGGCATTGAGCCATCTTTTGTCTAGGATGCCATATTAAGTAGCCATGCCCTGCAAAGACAATGCTAGTATAATTTTTGATATATTTTTGTTTAATTAATAGCGAAAATTAATCATTGGTAACTTAGGGTATGCTCCAAGCCCCTCAGTGGGGACATATAGTATGATGATGATGAACTCAACTCAAATTGATGACCTGCACATCAGCTTACAGTTTACATGTATGAAGCAGGAGGCTAGACAAAGTGCTTTTGATCCGGAACAATTCCATAACGAATTAAAAAAATGTATGAAATTGACGTGCGACAATCATATAACTTTCCAAAGTTATTGTCACTTCTATACATTTTTGAAGTTCATTATGGAATCACTCCGTAGCGAATGCACATTGTCTAACCCTGCCGAGCAGTAAATCGGCTCGCAGCTCAACTCAATTTGTACAGCACACATAGTTATAGTACTTCTTGACAAGTTGTTAGCTGACGATTTAGTTGTTGAGCTGCAGCTCAATGGTTGTAGTCTATGTGACCTGCACTTTTGAACCGTTTCCTAGCCGATTTACACACGTCCCGCAAAAATAAAATTCTTAACCGAGGTATTAATGAAATTTAAATGAATATGTTTCAGGTCCCTCAATAGATTTCAAATTAAGGCGAACTAAGTTGGCGTCAGATGATCTCTACAAGGAATCTTTCAAGATACCACGTGAAGAGAAACCACTAACAAAGAAGAATATATCAAAGGATGCATTCGGAACAAAACTTGGACGCATTCACATAGGCAAGCAGGATATCCGAAGATTAGACACGAAAGATGAAAGGTCTTAAGAAAACACCAGAAGAAAAGAAGCAATTGTTACGTAAGAAAAAGTTAGCAAGAAAGCAGACTACAGCGTAATAAATATGTTATTTAATGAATATGTTGTTTAAATGTTTCGGTAAACAAAATCCTACTGAATTAGTGTTTGTGCCTATGGTCACAATCTCGTAAGATTTTTTAAAATTTAAATTCAATCTTCGTCAGTCCACATTTCTTTTTTCTTCACATTTCATTTAAAATATTAGAAAGTCAAAGCATAGTATTGTCACACTTATAAGCTTAAACGATGGTTTTTCCAAGAATATAATGCATCATCAGATATTTTTGAATACCAATATTTTATCTGCCTAACCAAAAGCAGTACTATTATTTTTAAATGTCATGGCGACCCAAGGTCATCTGCACGCTGCGCATAGCCATCCAGAAACGCCCCGCTACACATAAATTTGTAATCTGAGCAGCGTCTTGTGCGAAGTTAGAGCCGTTAAGATAATCGAAAACAACAATTAAAGAGCTGATTAATATAATACACAATATATTAAGGTAACGATCGAAAGTAAATAACACGGACAAAGTCTATGGTTTTTTCCGTATATTATGTTAATTCACTATTACGGTAATCATACATACGTTTCGTAAACCGACAAAACCCAGGGATATTTTTAAAAAGTATTAAGGAAAAGCCAAAGGCGTGCAGTGCAATAGAAGACCCGAGTGTTTTGAATAATTAATGAAGTACACATATGTACATAACATGCTAATTTTAACGATAAGCTATATCTTTACATTTACCTTGTGAGATGGTCGGAATGACATTGAACTTGAACTAACAAAATTAAGTTACGTTTGATTCTTGAAATAATTTATATTTTTTTTAAACTATTGGAACTAAGTTTTAAGCTTGTGTAAGTTTCACGACTAGTCAAAAGGTAGGATTCGAACCCACGGTCACATAATCAGATGTCGGTACCCTCAACTAGACAATTGGGCTATTAGTGCTTGTAAATGCTGTTGATTATGTTTTAATTGTCTGTCATTCTTTATAGAAATATAGGAAGCTTTCTTATACTTTATCTACCAGCAAACCTTTCGGTCTCTTGTCTCTTACATAAAGACCCTCGTACACTGATTTCGACGGTATAGATCTTGAAATATATATATATATATATATATATATATATATATTGGTTTGAGAATATTTAGCACGCGTCCGCGTAACATAAATGTGCATTTAATTAACAGAAACATCTGTAGTAATATAAAGGTTTTTTAGGAAACAGTCAGCAAATAAATAATTGGTAATTTTCATTATTATTTGCTAAGGCTATTAACCTAAGTTCTATACAAAGTGTATAATTGACACAATTTAATACTATACATTTGTTTACGCAATTTTACATGCTCCAACGACGTGTACGTAAATGATATTTTTATACTGTGAATACCTTTTGTTTCGATTGAAAGCCTAAGTTAAGGGCACATAGTGTCTACTATTAGTAATATCGGAAAAAAGAATTGCTACACATCACATATTTACGTTGCTGTTAACGAAAACCCAAATTTTAACGTTTTACACTGTCTGTCAGTCCGCAAATCCAATTTTTTTCCGGGTAATATCTGGAACAGCTTTACAAATTAAAATAGTTTTACGGGACTTTTATTAAAAGGTAACTAAGGCGTGCGGGAATAACTTAGGCCAATTTTTATGCGCTGACGAAGTCGCGGGCAACAACTAGTTGTATAATAATTATAGATAATTCATTTAATATTTTATAATTTCTGAGTTTCAGCTTAATTTGCAGTTTGCATATGGTTAATCGTTTCGATTGGGAATCTAAAATTGATGAGCGAAAAAAAAGATGGTTGCTGAGGAAAAGTGATTAGCAAAATAATAAAATGGAAAAATAATATAAAAGAAATTATTATTCCACTTCGTTTATAATGATAAGGAAAAAGATTTCTTTGTAAACTTCTAAATTTATGAAGATACATTGATTTAAAGCAGTATTTACCACCGTAGCATTAAGGCTATATTTTTATGCTATTTGTATAGAGGCAGTGTTCTTGGAAAGAGGTTTGTCCCCGAGAAACTTTTACCAATGATAAGTCAAGCGTTTACCTTAAACAAGACTTCTTCTATTCTTCGCGATATAAGTCAATACTGTGCGACGAAATTTATAATTTAAGCTTATTTAAATTTAACGATTCATTGTATAGACGAGAAAGTGTAAAAGTCATATAACGAAAAAATCTATCAAATTAATAAACATCAGCAACTTAAAGAAAGTATTGATGGATTGTATTGACGATAACATTGTAAAAAGGCGTGTAATATGTACGAAGAAATCATTTTAATACTAAACTGTGAAGAGACTGTCCTCAATTTAAATGTAGGAGTAGCGGTGAAAATTTCTAAATACCTAATTTAGGTCACATTTTCCTTCTTACCATTATCTTATAAGGAAATGATGGGAAGTGGATCTGACGGAAAAGGAGACGCATGAGAAGAGGAAACAACGTTTTTCTGCATCTGCAATTGCGGATGTCTATGGGCAGCAGTCGCTTCGCTATTTCGACGAATTTAGGTGGCCGCTTGCTCGTTTTACATAAAAAAGTAGGTACACTTAGATAAACTAGAGCCTTTTGGTAATAACAACGTTTTGTGGTCAAACAAACGTAAAACTTTATTGTTTGACACAGTCCGGTTGTGGACAAGGACATTTTACTACTGTATAAATTGTTAACGTTTTACAATTTAAGTATTTGGTGAGCACTAACATATTTCATTTTTATAATTTAACTAGCTTTTGCCCGTGACTCCGTCCGCGCGGATTAAAAAAAAAAACTTAATGTGTAGCCTATGTGTTCTTCCAGACAATGTTCTACATCTAAACCAAATTTCATCGCAATACGAGATATGCCTTCGAACAAACATTCTTTCATCTATCCAACTAAACATTCGCATTTATAATATTAGTAAGAAATAATTTACTAAGCTAAACTTTTTTCTACTTGCATCCAAATAACTAGATTTTATTACTTGCTGTACTTCCTTACTTTCACATAAATATCAATAGAATAAAATTTATGTACTAACTGTTTACTTTGCACAGTTTCATAAACACTTATCTAATGGATTCCTAGTTATAAATACTTTGATTGAAGCAATTATGTATCAATTTATTGTTAGGTGTAATTTACAACCAACATAGTTGAAATTATTTCTTATCTAAAGGACAATGTAATAAATAGAATTAAAAAAGTTTTTATATAATTTACCTGTATAGAAAGCTAACCTAAAAGTTAAACTTTATTATTTTTTTAAAACGTGCTATTTTAGGATTCATCTAAAATACTCATTTCGTACCTTCGCATCATATTGATCTACCAATTACGTATTTGCGATATATCACAAGACTAATTATTACTTCCTTACAGTTAAAAATGACATGTAATATAGTGTAGGTGTTATAATGTTCATTATTATTGTTCTTAAGGCGATTTCCATTTGATTAAAATGAAAATCCTTGACTAGAAGATAATTCTAAAGTTATTGTTTGTATCAAAATTATAGTAAGACCTACACAACTTTACTTAGAATAAGTTAAATCTAAGTAAAGTTAATAATAATAATAACATAACCCTTTGTAGTATTATTGCGTCTAAACTTATGATTTACGCGTTAAATAATTCTCTACTGTACTTTTAAGTTATGATTTTAAACTTTACGGGAGACGCAAAACTATGAATTAATTAACGACTACAAACTTAAAAAGGATCGATCAAATTAATTTACTTATGCCGTTTATAAAACAAGTTATAGCCTACTATTCGGGTTAAGATCGATAAGCAAGTTAGAATTGACATTCCTTTTTGTTTAATTTTAGTAAAAACCGATTATATGTTCAAGTAAAGAAACTTTAAATTCTTTTCAATGGTAATATCCACAGTATATAGTAGTAGGTTGGGCCAACCTACATTAAGTTAATTTATTTCTTATGGTCATTATCCGTTCACGTATAGTCGTTAACTGGTTTAATATCATGTTGTGATTGTTTTTATTTACCTATACCTACCTATTTCGTATGATCAGATATCTTACTTCTTACTAATATTATAAATGCGAAAGTTGAAATGGATGAATGAATGAATGGATGTATGAAGGTATCTCCGGGCTCAACGAATTTCGCTCGAAATTTAGCATAGATGTAGAATATTCATCTGGATGAGAGAATAAGCTACTTATTATTTTTTTTTGTTGTAATTCCGCGAGGATGGAGTCGCGGGTTTGATCTAGTTTAATATAAATATGTATCTACGAGCATATATAGACAGGACACCGCGAACTAAACCGTTATCCACCACTTGATACCACTAGACACATGAACCGCACATGAATTAGAATTTTATTTACTAATCAAATCAAAGTGTAGGGTTTAAAATGTCCGTTCATCGTTAGGGTTGAGAATTCATTTCAATTAAAATAACAAAATGTCTTTATTGAGGCATAAACAAAAGTACAATTGATATAAAAGTCCCCTGGCTCATGACGAGCGAGTATCTTATGAGCCAGTGTGACAAAACAGAACGGAAAATTTTTACAAACTTAAATACGAAACATAAATTGCTAGCTATTGCTTCATAATGTAAAAAATTATAGTACTTATGTATAAATATAATAGTGTAGAATATTTAAGAAATATTTTTTGGGTTTTGTCGCTCATCCGTTAATTTGACACTTAACCTTCGTCCAGTCTCATTGTCTGTAATTTCAGGTTAAGCATTTGAAGGCCGAGTTTATTAACATCGATACTAACAGCTTAAATTACATCCTGTCCAGTTTAGGCCATTTTGATAACAACCGGAAGAAATAGTCAAGATAATCAGCATATTCTTGACAAGAGTATTCAACGCGGTAGAAGACAATTTACTAGACTAATTCCATCCAGTTTCTGTTAAGTGACGACCAAGTAATTAATTTAAAACTAAATTAATTACTTCCAGTGATTGATATTGTAAGTACTGTACCGTTTTTGCGCCTTGTTTGTCAATAGTCAGGAATGTTGAACACTCTGTGTAGGCATATTACGCGTTTGAA